TACATGGATTTAGGCTTGTTCAGCTCTTTTCCTGCTCTTCAGCTCCTCTCTTGAACACACTTTTAGGTGGATTTTGTTTTTATCCTCTAAGCATGCCTCTTCTAATATGCCTGTAAATGTATGTATGGACACATAAGCCAACACAGAGCAGCTTTCACCAGCTACAAAAAAAAAAAGAGTCAAATGCTTTAAAAGCGGCAATTTTAAGCCCAGTGTACATGAAGCCTAAGAGGGGTATCTCCTCAATTTGTAGAGATCTCCCTTTGCTTCCTGCTGGGTCAATGAGACAGAAAATAAAGGGAAATCTGCCTAACAGGGCTGAGACATGTAAATACAGTAAATAAATACATAAAATAAAACCTGATGGGGACTTAAAGCTGAAATTTAGGTATGGGCATTTATACATATCGGTCCAGCTCAGACCAGTATAACTATGCATATATCATACCTAGCTGAACCCCCAGGAACCTGAAAACCCTGTTTCTGCAGCAATTTCCACCATCTTTTGGGTCTAAAGCAAGTGGAGATTGCTTCCACATGGTTTCCCAACTGCATTGTTAACATTGGAGGTCCGCAGTTTGGCATGGGCACCATTCAAAGAACTTGCTGTGTTTTCCCAATGAATGCAAAGCATTGCCTGAGTGGATGAGGTGGAGAATCCGGGTGGGGGAAGTCCCATTTGCCATCTTGTCCACTCATAGAATTGTTTGCATTGATTGAGAAAATGCAAAACATTTTCTGAATGGCACCCATGCCATTTGGGCCACCTCTTGTGTTCAGTAAGCAGTAGGGCAGCTGTTCAGCATGCCAGCTGCCACAGAGGTCCCACAGGTATGGTATATGAATGGTTCCTTAGACCAAGCTGGACTAATGTAACTATGTAAAATAATCTATACCTGGAATTTAGTTTTAACCAATTCTTGCTTTATCCAAAGTTAAAAAAAAAAATTTTAGGTTTACACTTTAACCCCTCGACGCCGACGTAACACAAAAATGTGGCCTCACAGAACTGGAACTTTTTCCGTGGGGCCGCATATTTGCATATCTCTCTTTGTGCTGGGAGCGCGCGTTCCCAGCACAAAGACCGCGGTGTCACTGAGAGCACTGGGTCTTGTTCTAACGACCCGGGATTCCCGATTCCAGGTCACATGATTGCTGTGATAACCTCTGATTGGCTATCACAGTGATCAGTCACTGTACAGCCCGGCCCCCTTGTTTTTTCTCTCTCTGTGAATGGAGGAGAGAGATAACTCCTGGCATAGAGGGAAAAAAATTTTTGTAAAAAAAAAAAAAAAAGATAGATATTAAAAAATAAAATAAAAAATACCTATATCAAGGCTTGATCTAGTTCAGTGCCAGGGTTAGTGTTTGGGTCAAGGTAAGGGTCAAAGGTCAAGGTCAAAGGTCAGGATTTAAAAAAAAATTGGTCAGTGTCAGTTAGGGGTTTATTTACTAAAGCTGGAGAGTCCAAAATCAGACTCCCTTCTGCATAGAAACCAATTAGCTTCTAACCTCAGCTTCTTCAATGAAGCTTTGGCAATGAAACCTGGAAGCTGATTGGTTTCTATGCAGAAGGGAGTCTGATTTTGGACTCTCCAGCTTTAGTAAATAAACCCCTTAGTGTCAATGTCGGCGTCAGTGTAAAAAAACAAAAACAAAAAAAAAAATGAGCATTATTGTTTCTGGGCTGTACTGTGGGTACAAAAAACACATGACATATACATATATGACAACTCATGGGGCCCCCGGGCAATAGGGGATCATGGGGCCCTGTGTCTTCGCCCAAACCCAAAAAAGCCTATGAAAAATGCTCCTTACACGTGCGGTTCTTTGGGAAGTATTCCCCCCTTACAAATAGCTAAAATGATCAATGGGTTCAGTGGGAACTTATCTGAGAGGCAGAAATTGCTCATTTCTCAAGGAACTCCTTGCAACCTCTGGAGGAACCCTAGGATTCCATGGAATCCTGGTTGAGAAACCTTAATCTAGATCATCTAGATGATTATTGAAACACCAATAGCTGGTGGGTTAGAAGTTATACCCAATATGTGAAACACACATTTTTCGTTGTTTTTAAGTACCCTCTGTCCGTTCTGAACCGAATGGAGTGACATGTCCGACCTGCCAGTCATCTTCCACCAGTTGGTGTTACAAAGAACAGACTGTTGACTGTACCGGAGATGAGACAGTGTGCGCTCTTTACTCTGCTGACATAGGCGGTAAGTCTTTTTTTTTTTTTTTAAATTAAACCCTTATTGCTATATTTTCAAAGTCTTTGGCTTCCTTTTGGTCTGGTAAATGTATACTGTTGAAGATGTATTAAATATCAAAATACGATTATTATTCTCATATTACAGGAAACAAGTCCTCCATTAGAGGCTGTGCCAAGCAAAATATCTGCAGCCCTCAGAAATACAGTGTCAATGGAACGGAAATGACGTACCTGTTTACTTGCTATTGTGGAGGTATTCTGTAATATTCTATACATTGACACAGACATGCAACCAATCATTTCCTTGAACTAAGCTCATAGCTAACCAAAATAAATAACATATGAAAATTAACAAAAAAAAAAAATCTTTCTCCCTCACTTTGTTTTAGCTTTCCTCTAGCTTGCTACGTAGTAGTGTTCTACAGAATCTGCGGGCCTAAACTAAAACCTATGGGAATACCTTTTGTTTACATTGCAAACTATAATGTCTTGACCCGCTGGTAATGCATCCCAGTTTGAGTGTCCAGCAGGGGCGGACTGACAACTCATGGGGCCCCCGGGCAATAGGGGATCATAGAGCCCCTGTGTCCTCACCCCTACACTCAAATCACACCCAAAAAAAGCCTATGAAAGGTACCAGGGACATCTCATGGGGCCCCCTACTGACCCCGGGCCCTTGGGCGGTGCCTGAGTTCCCCAATGGTCAGTCCGCCCCTGGTGTCTAGATATTTTCACTCTTATTTGCCACTTTGCTTCTGAGGTTGTGGAGATATAGGCACCCACTTTCCTATGTGGTGGTCTTGTCCCGTGGTAAGCTTGCTTTGGGTAGAGGTCTTCCAGATCCTTTCAACCCTGTTCTTGAAAACGGTCAAAGCTGATCCACTTATAGCATTGTTATATCACCAGATATTCTGAAATCCTAAGTCAAACTACTAAAGAAAATAGCTACAGTGGCTAAACAAACCATAGCGAAAGAATGAAAATCCATGAAAAAGAGAGGAAGGCGCCTCTATGTGCAGTATTGACAATTTATTGGTAAACAATAGATACAGTTGTGACCAAAATTATTCAACCCCCACTGAAATTGAGTGTTTTGGCCAGTTTGACATTGCTTTTGATCATTCAGTCATCTTGCTTACATTTACATTAAAGAGGCACTTGTAGGTCAGACAAATATAACATAACAGTTATAATGAAAATAACCACAAATGTCTTTTCTGTGCTCACAGCATTATCAGTTTTATTCAACCCCCAAGTGACATTCAATCTTAGTACTTAGTACAGCATCCTTTTACAGTTATAACAGCTTTTAAACGTGAAGCATAGCTTGACACAAGTGTCTTGCAGCGATCTACGGGTATCTTCGCCCATTCTTCATGGGCAAAGGCCTCCAGTTCAGTCACATTCTTAGGCTTGCGCACTGCAACTGCTTTCTTTAAGTCCCACCAGAGGTTCTCAATCGGATTTAAGTCTGGTGACTGCGATGGCCACTCCAAAATGTTCCAGCCTTTCCTCTGCAACCATGCTCTAGTGGACTTGGAGGTATGCTTGGGATCATTGTCCTGTTGAAAGGTCCAACGTCTCCCAAGCCTCAGGTGTGTGACGGACTGCATCACGTTTCCATCCAATATCTCCTGGTACTGAAGAGAATTCATGGTACCTTGCACACGCTGAAGCTTCCCTGTACCTGCAGAAGCAAAACAGCCCCAAAGCATGATTGACCCTCCACCATGCTTCACAGTAGGCAAGGTGTTCTTTTCATCATAGGCCTTGTTCTTCCTCCTCCAAACATAGCGTTGATCCATGGGCCCAAACAGTTCTAATTTTGTTTCATCAGTCCACAGAACACTATCCCACAACTTTTGTGGTTTGTCCACATGGCTTTTGGCATACTGCAGTCGACTCTTCTCTTATTCTTTGGAGACAGCAAGGGGGTACGCCTGGGAGTTCTGGCACGGAGGCCTTCATTACGCAGTGTGCGTCTTATTGTCTGGGCTGAAACTTCTGTACCCACATCTGACAAATCTTTTCTCAGTTCCTCAGCAGTCACACGGGGACTTCTCTCCACTCTACGCTTCAGGTAGCGCACAGCAGTCGAAGTCAGCATCTTCTTTCTGCCACGACCAGGTAGCGTTTCAACAGTGCCCTTTGCCTTGAATTTGCGAATGATGCTTCCTAAGGTGTCTCTTGGTATGTTTAACATCTTTGCAATCTTCTTATAGCCATTGCCCTTCCTGTGAAGAGAAATCACCTCTTCTCTTGTCTTCCTGGACCATTCTCTTGCCTTCACCATGTTTGTAACCACACCAGTAAATGTCTAGAAGGAGCTGAGTATCACAGTCATTTTAAAGCTGCCTAATTGGTGCTTATTATGCTTGATTGCTGCTCGGTGACATCCACAGGTGTTTTCAATACCTGATGGAAAGCACCTGTATGAACCTCTGTTCTTCAGAGTGGTAGTCTTTAAGGGGTTGAATAATTGTGGCAATGAAGAAACCACATAAGAACCATTTACTACTGTATTACATAAACAATTGATGTCATTTTAGTTGCATTTGGGTAGTTACAACGTCCTTGTAGGATTTGATTCTGAATACAATTCCAAATGTACACTATAGTCCCTAAACCCCTTTACAGCATTGGGGGTTGAATAATTTTGGTCACAACTGTACATTGCACTTACAAGGTAAATAGTTAAATAGACTCATCGTGTGGTGTAATGAGATCCAGGTGAGACATCCAGTGGTGTATTTAGATTTCGTGCTGCCCTAGGCAACACAAAAATCCCTTCCACTACCACTGCCCCCCATACACCAGCCACCATCCCCCATGGCGAGAGAGAGAAAGACAATCACATTCACAGCTCTGGACATCCCCAGGAACGAGAGTCAGACTGTGCATACATCGTCATGAAACCCGCAGTCTCTATCAGAACCCACCAGGTCCCCATGCCACGTGTGTCCCTTCTTCTGTCCCTTCTTCTGAGGGGCAGTGCTGCCCCCCCCCCTGAAAAATGCTGCCCTAGGCAAATGCCTTGTTTGCCTTGTGGTAAATACACCCTTGGAGACATCCAACCGTCCAGCAGCAAACTCTGTCTATATTATCAGGAAGTAAAGCCCAGGATGTGCCTGTGCATCAAAATGAGACTTGGAGAGAAGAATAGGATGTAGGAGGTGAAGGGGCGCGGGAACGTGTTTTGGAGCATGCTCAGTAGGCTCATTCTTCAGACCTCAAAGAATGCTTATTTTGGTTGAGGCTAAAAATAGGGTGACCCAAGCAATTTGCTCATGCTAGAAATTAAAACTATACTGCAGGATTGGGATCACCAAATATACTAAGACCTGGCAACCATTGGTGGACCACTACCTTCCTCCATACTTGGATACCACACTACTGCTGCCAAGCTGATTTCCTCTCACTTATTGGATACATTGTTTTCATTTACTATTCCCTGCAGACCCTTAGGATCCCTGACTCCATTCCTGAACCTGTAGTAGATAAAAAAAGAAAAAGAGCGCACAAACCTTGCACATTACCTCTGTAAACAATTCATGTATTTATTGATAAGTTATACTCACAAGAGTAACAGTATAAAAGGCATATAACATCCAAAACCAACACAGAGTTAGACGACGAGTGCAAGTTCCATCCGGAAGGGAGATAGACTCTTGGTCAAGTTGACGTGTTTCGAAGGGGGATCCCTTCTTCCTCAGAAACTTAAAGGTCTGCAAAAGAGGACCTGAAATGGTTTGCAGAAATGGTCAATTTTCAGTATTCCAATGACAATTGGCAGCCTCCCTATTATCTGTTTTCTATCTGTTCTTAACTCATAGGAGGCCTTTTGCCATTATGGGTTTATTTACTACAGCTGGAGAGTGCAAAATCAGACTAACTTCTGCATAGAAACCAATCAGCTTCCAGGTTTCATTGCCAAAGCTTCATTGAACAAGCTGAGGTTAGAAGCTGATTGGTTTCTATGCAGAAGGGAGTCTGATTTTGGACTCTCCAGCTTTAGAAAAATAAACCCCTATGTGTCAGTATTTTCAATGTTTAAATCAGTTTTGTCCATTCCTGAACCTTAAGCTTTTTTAGCCCTCCTTCCTACCCCCTTTCCCTCTTCTTCCCTTTAGTTAATCTGAAGATATCAATGGTTACCAATCTTGCCATTCATGTTCCTGTGGATATTTAGACATGGCTGCTGGACCATCTCCTTGGCTCCCCCTACTTTTTTTATGTCATTTAACGCCTAGGCAGGTGCTTTCTGAATTCTTTTTTAGGACAATATTTGTTATCCGGCCCATATTGAGCAAGAATGACGGCTTCTTCATCTGTCATGTTTCTATGAGTTTATCCTTTTGTCACCAACATGATTTTCCAAGCCGAGTTGTCATTTTATGCACCCATGACCCATATGTGTAATGACTATTGTAACTCACTGAAAAATCCAGTAAATACTTTCAACAATAAAAAGTTAGGCACATACGTCTTTTGAGGGCTGTAAAGAGCTTCTCTTGGCTTATTTTTTCTGATTACCCTAGACTGTGTCTAAATGTTTCCATTTGTTAGCCCCATCATTTCAATCAGGTAGGGTTGCAGAAGCTTCCCAAACCAATCTGACCATTTTGCATAATTTGTAGCTCTTTAATAACACTTTATGGGTACTTGTTTGCATCCAATGGGACTTCTACTTTAAAAAATTATATGTGTTTCAAAGGCAAACAAGTTAAAAAAAAAACTCCACCAAACCACAACTGATCTCTTCACTCATCTGTAGATGATAGTAATATGAGAGTAAAGTGTTCTAAGAAAACTGTGTGACACCAATGAGAAGGTAAATGAACTGGTACAGGAAGCCATAAGTAAATGATCAAATATTTTCACCCAATTTACTCATTTGTGTGATCCATTCATTCTGGATCACCAATCTTTAGTTTTATGAATTATGGAAGTAGTTTCTTTGAGGAAAGACTTGCCCTTGCTTTTAGAGAATTCTAGGAGATAACTGAGTGAAATTTGTACTTGGTAAGAGAAAAAGAGTGATAAATGATTGTTTTTTTTTTTTAATTTAAGGCAATTCTAGCAACACCTATTGCCCAGACACTGATGTAACCTGTCCTTCTGGCACCATCTGTGCAAGAGTTCAAACTCTAAGTACTGTTGGTAAGTTTTAACAAGCATTTCCACGACTGTACTAGAATAACATCTCTATGTGGCAAGATTGGTCCTCTTTAATAAGCAATAATACTCTTTTGCAGATAATGCAAGTTCTGAAAAAAATAGGACTGCATGTTTACCAATATACCAGTGTGGAATCTCCGGTAGCACAACCTTTCACGTGGCACGTTAAGAGTATTGACCGTTTGTTCAACTAATACCTGCAAGCTAACCAATCCAGATTGTAAGTATCTATTTTGCATAGTATGTCATGTCAGTTACTGGGACATGGCATGTTTTTTTGAGTTGACTTCTTTTCTGTTGAGTTGAGAGTTGAGGTATTTTTTTTTAATACTAACTCAGTTTTCTGTAGCTATCTTCCCCTATTCCAAAAAGTAGTAACATTTCTAAAAGTACCATATTAATACCATTCATTCCATATAAAAAAGAATAACATACCAAGCCCAACCTGAAATTCAATATTAGGCCTAAACTTAATTGAATTTATTGGGCAAAGTTTGGTTGCATTAACCAAAAATAGCGCGATACGCTTACAGTCAAAGATTGCTTCAATCACTTTCTCAATAATTTAAAATCTCACAGGGTCAAGCCTTAATTCAACAACCAAATGGAGTGGACATGTCCTGCTTGCAAGTCAAGTAATTCTGAATGGTGTAAACAGCAGACTACCATGAATTGCACTGGGAGTGAGACAGTATGTGTGGTCCACACTGAAAAACTGTTGGGTATGTCTATTGTGATTTTCCATTCCATTGATGTTTTAGCTGAATTATCATCAGTTTGTTATCGTCGTAGAATTTAGCATTTTGTCGTTTGTATAAGCATTCCAAAGCAGTTTTTTTTCCTACAACAGGATCCCATCTGTCCATGCGTGGCTGTACTACTAGAAGTAACTGTTATCTTGGGCAACTATCTCACAGTGCTAAAGGATCTGAATTTTTAACTTTAAGTTTATCTGCCCTACAGCAGGTATGTAAGAATGTATAAAGAAATAGCACTCTCCTTTCCCAAAGTAGAATCCCCCACCAAGTTACTAACACAATCCTTCCCCTGAAGTACAAAAATCATCAAAATATAGTAGCTTGATTACCCTCTAATAACAATGTAGTGTAAACATAATACCAAACCCCCAAAAAAATGTGTAATCATCCCAAAAAAATTGTGTAAATAAAAATATTAAAATAAATAATAATAAAAAAAAAAAAAAAAGAGTCCAAAAAAGAGTCCCAAATTAAGAGTCCCAAATTTTTCCAATCTTTATCTGTGATATCTTAATTCTTCATATCTTCCAACATTCTTAGTGATATACTTCAAACCCGATCTTCATATACCTCAAGAAAAAAGAGCTCAACATGTGTGATATCTTCAAAGAAAAAAGGTATCTAAACAACCGTGCCACACGTGTTTCATGCACATAGAAATCAATTGTGCCACCATAACCGTGAGAAGAAAGATAACCCTCAACCTTAGGAGTCACTCCACTACATACCACCAAAGGGAGTTCATAGTTACCCTCAAAATGGTAATCAGGGGTCTGAATATTTCTTTCCACTTTATAGATATTCCTTCAGCCTTTCCAGCCACTTCCCACAGACCTCAATAACAGACCATGGATCAGTAGATATCATAAAACTTATAGCACTTTATTGTAGCAACTTACATTCAAGTAAGATGACATCAGCTTCACAAACGGTTATATTCCCAAATCCTTCCTCTCCTCACAAGTGTACAGATTGCCACACTATCACACTCCCGAGGGAGGAACGGTTGCCGTGAGTGCCCAGTACCTCAACGCCCCACGAGGATTGCAGGAAAACACAGCCGCATGTACCAGGATCAAAGATGGCCGTCGCCGCACTTCGGAAGAGCGTACCTACGTCACCACGTCACACGTGCCCCGGACGCGTTTTCGTCACATCCGGACTTTATCAACAGGGATCCCTATGATATATACTGATCCATGGTCTGTTATTGAGGTCTGTGGGAAGTGGCTGGAAAGGCTGAAGGAATATCTATAAAAGTGGAAAGAAATACTCAGACTTCTGATACCATTTTGAGGGTAACTATGAACTCCCTTTGGTGGTATGTAGTGGAGTGACTCCTAAGGTTGAGGGTTATCTTTTCTTCTCACGGTTATGGTGGCACATTGATTTCTATGTGCATGAAACACGTGTGGCACGGTTGTTTAGATACCTTTTTTTCTTTGAAGATATCACACATGTTGAGCTCTTTTTTCTTGAGGTATATGAAGATCGGGTTTGAAGTATATCACTAAGAATGTTGGAAGATATGAAGAATTAAGATATCACAGATAAAGATTGGAAAAATTTGGGACTCTTAATTTGGGACTCTTTTTTGGACTCTTTTTTTTTTTTTTTTTTATTATTATTTTAATATTTTATTTACACAATTTTTTTTGGGATGATTACACATTTTTTTGGGGGTTTGGTATTATGTTTACACTACATTGTTATTAGAGGGTAATCAAGCTACTATATTTTGAGGTATGTAAGAATAGTACAAGGCAAGTACAGTATGGTAGAGTGATTGTCTAGAGGTATCTACACATACCTGCTGCAGCCTCCTAAACAGTACCAGTTGAATGGTGGTATCTCTGAGCTCATCACTAAGTTCTGCCCACATGCATTTTTATT